GGGTACTATTTTATATATATATAAGGAAAATTTGAAAGTTAGGGGGGCTCGAGCACCCCCTGCCCCTACCTGGCTACGCCCATGCCTGGGTTCACCACAAACCCCGCTCGAAATTCCCAAGCCACAGTGGCTGGAATCAAGGAATCTTTACGGACGGGTCAAAGATGGAATGCGGAGTTGGTGCAGAGGTTTTCACTGAGAAATTTAACCTAAAGTTATCCTTCGCCCAACAGACTAAACAAGTATTTTCCAGGACGAAACGTTTGCAATTAAGGAGGCAGTATTGTGTATAAAAGAGAATTTACTCGCGAGAACGCAATGCTTAAAGGATAGGACTGCCCTTCAATGGGATCTGTCGCAGTTGCCGCTTTAAAAAACGGTTTGTTTTCGAATGTTGCCCTGAGCAGGGATAGAACCTTGGTCCCACCTAGTGGAAGAAGGCACTTTTAGCCACCCAACTGCGGTAGCCGGCGTATTAAAAGTATTATGGACAACTTTTGGATCCCTAGATTTATGTTTGCTATACTTATGCTCAAGTTATATAACTACGTGGCTTCATATCCATAAATATATATATGTTCATACGAGAGTGCGATTCTCATTGCTGGGCGAACACTTTAAGATCTTATAATCTTATTTGTATAATAAAATTTTACGTTGCTTTCATTGAGCAAGCAGTGAGAGTAAAGTTGTACGCTTAATAGCTGCAAAGAAGTACAGTGGGTAGTATTTTAAGTACTGAGTTAATGTACATTAAATTTTAAAATTCAGCCACTTATAATAACAATAATTTAATATGTGCCAACGGGTTTTCTTACGATTTGGCTGAAAACATACGGCGAGCATTAGTAGAAAAGCCATTTCATTTTAGTATGGATATTTAATGTCCGAACAATTCGATTCAGAGTTAAGAGTAATAGGGAAAAGAATTGTTTTAAGTTTTGGGAAGCTACAAAGCATTTGCTTAAAATTGAATGATTTCATAGCAGACATACATTTCTGAAACAAAATATTCCCACATAGTCTCTTTTTAGCTGAAAACATTTACAACTTTTTGCCAATTTTTTAATTCCTTCCAAATAATAGGATTTTCAAGGTCCTCAAAATAAGCTCTTTTTTCAGTGATGCCCTCTTCTTAGGACCCCAATCTCTTACTGCCTAGCCATTTCTTTGCGTTCGGAAATAGGAAATTGTCGCTGGGGTTACATCTGGTGATTGTGGTGGATGGGGTAGGACTTCGTACCTCAATTGATAGATTTTTTCTAGGGCCGAGTGTAAGCAATCGCGGCACTAAGCACATACATAGCTTTTTCGTGTCTATGATGCGTTCACCCAGTTGAGATGCCTACAGCCTCAGTCACCTGACGCACTTCGTCCAATATGATTTCTTGAATTTTGTCGACGATTTCTGCCGAATTCGGAGTTACTTTTGCTGGCATGAGTATAACGGTGCAGAATCCCCATAGCATTTAACAAGCCTTTCCTTGGTTTCATTAAGGATTTTTTACGGAAAAATGTTTTAGCAGCACACTAAATTAAATTTTTTTCTTTTCGTTAAATTTCACGAAGTTTTCTGTTGTCAATGGCTGTCAGACACTAACTAAATGGCGCACCTTACTCAAAATTTTACAGTAGTCTATTAATCGATAGCAGTTGACGAAAGCACTGACTTTTCAAAGCCCCCTCGTACATACCATTGGTACTAGCAAATGTTTTTGTACATAATATTGGCTAAACAAATTAAAACTAGTTAATATTTTTCAGAACTTTTTTTTAATTTAATGTATAGTATAACCTTATGGCTAAAGATTGTAGAACACCATATTCGATATGACCTCCATTTGCCACCCCGCAGCGACGAAGTCCATTTGGCCGCTCATCGACAACAAAACAACAAAACGATTTTCGAGCGAACTCCATTCAATGATTGCAATCAACTTAGATCAAAAACTTTAAACACGGCAATTTGGCGTAAATGTCACTTTTCAAATAGCCGTTTACTAAAAGTTTGTAAATTCACTGATTACTGAGAATGGGTGTCTTCAAGCCGTGCACCAAAACATTTACTAGTACGAAGTGCGAATATTCTATGAAGAATACAATGCTAATCTGGCAGGTCTTCAAATGGAATTAAATTAATTTTAAAAGACTTTGAAAAATATTTAATTTTACTAATAAAATGAGAATGCTAAAAGCGTTTCTAAAATAGTCAAATAGATAGCTGCATGGGATTGAGAGCGGTATTTGACAGTCAGTACTTTTTATGCAATAAAGCCAGGTTTGAGGCCTTTGTAAGATCGACCTGTACGAGGATACGAAGCACTGAGCGTTTTAATGTTCTACAATTCGCACACAGAAGCGATTTAAAAGTTGATTAAAACTTGTTTTCCAAACTCAAAACTGCGCTATAAAACTAAATGAAAACCGCACATAATATACAACCATCCATACCGACACAAATTTACACGCTTTCACACTTGAACGTGTGTAAATATCGCTCCACATTTTTGCCATTTTGTCTGTGTTGTATCTAAGTATGTAACTAAATGTTGAAAAATGTAAGAAGGAAATACAAATTTACACAGAAACCCAATAAATCAACAAAAACGGAGAAAAAACGACGAAACCAAAAAAAAAACAAGGGCAGTAATTTCAAAGAAAAAAACTGAATATTTTATAAGCTGCTGCTGCAAGCAAATAAGTACTTACCTCTTTAATTAAACCCCATGTTGGCTCGTTGCCCGGATGCCGTATAGCCTGACGGCTGACGCCAAAACTCATTAGCACCACAGCCAAGAGTACTACAAAATAAATCATGTTTTTAACCATTTTGCCCATCATTGTGACCAAAGGACCTGCATAAAAAAGACATAAATAAAGTTGAAATGGGGATTGAGCGGGGTAAACAATTTCGGTGAGTAAAAGTAAACACCACTGATGAAGTAATAAAATTAAATGTAAATAACCATGTTTTATACTACATAAATGATATCTAAATTTTGTATATACATATTTTGCTTTGTTGACTAAATTCATTAGAAAATATTATCATTTCCGTATTAATATCTCTGAATATATGTAGCCGCCCAATGTCGCAGTTAAGGCGGGCTACATCAATGTTAGCCCTTAGAAGACTTAAGTAGGGATCACACGATTTATACATTTGTACATTTGGCAGTCACGGGGTGGTGTTATCTAGAAATTTTTATCGAGAATGAGAGTAGCTCAGTAAAAGCTTTCCAAACAACACCACTCTGTGACGGTGAAAATAGCCAAATCTGTACAAATGTTCAAGTCGTGTGATCCCTGCTTAACATAGTTACTTTCTCAAGGGAAAGGAAAATGGACAAATTGCGAAAGCTGATCAATGAAAATTCTGAATGCTTTCCTTAGTCTAATGGAAATCTTCATGGGATTGAGATAGGCACCGGACAGTTCAAAAATAGTACTTTGTGTTTGTGTGTGTGCACGTATGGTGCTTTTGTCAGAACGACGAGTACGAAAAAGCGGCCCAAAAAAAATCAAATATCTGGGAGTTATTCTTGATGACAAGTTATCATTAAATCCTCATATACTAGATACTGCGATTCAAAAGGCAATAGACTCTATTTCGACCTGTCGAAAGCAAATGGAAAGTAACTGGGTGACCAAACCGAAATTAGCTAGATGATAACGACCTCGATGAATGTTTAAAGGACTATGAACTTAGGAAACGCACCGTGAATGTACTGACTCTCAATGGGAAAGCGCTTGTGCTCGGCTGGTTCATGTGCCCGAGAAGGCTAAAACTGACATCAACGCCGTGTAAAGCATCGTAAATTCTGTATTGGGTTTTTGGTGGGCGATATCCGCTGCACAAGCTTCTCGCCGCAGTCCATCATTGTTTGCAAGTATGTAAAAAAAAATATTTGTTCGAACAAAAATGTTGGGTAGTGACCGTGGCCAATGGTAACCCTCTGTTACTATCTCTGGATGAATGTTAGCCACGCTGACTGGCTAACCAGAATGGCGAGGCTTCGGTATGTAGCAAAAGCTGTCAAAAATTAAAATATTCTAAATGCTGTAAACTGCCCACAATATGTAGCTGTGGTTGTGGTGTATTATTTCTGATGTAGCTGATGCAGCTAGCGAAATAGCTTGTGGCTGTGGTACTACATTCTGGTTAGCCAGTGAGTCCGGAGAATCCATTGTCCGGAGGATGCATTACACTAAGCCTAGCATACTTTGAGGTGCCATCAAATTAAAACTTAAGAAAGTTTTATTACATGGCAGTTGAGAAGTACATGTGCATTTGAACGCCCGGCGTTAGCAGTCGAGCCTAAAAAGTGGTCTTGCCGTCGGAAAATTCAGCTTCGACGACAAAACATCTGTATACATATGTGCATGTATGTATATACATATAGTTTAGCCGAAAACATGTTCGCCTATTTATATAAAAGATTAGAGTGGTCCAAAAATGTATTCGAAAAAAGTAAAGTCCGAATGTTAATGCCCTCGCACCTAGAATTTTTCTATACCAAAAAAATGTACCCATTTTTTATTTTGAAATGAAAAAATTTTTACAGGTCGCACAAAGGTATATGGGGAAAAGCTATTTAACGTTGAAATGGTATAGACTCCTTGGCTAGACTCACAAGACTTCAAGGAATAATACCGAATTGTTTATAAAACAAGTAATTTTTAGCAAAAAAAAAACCGACTTCAACTCCCATATAAAAAAAAAATATATATATATATCTCATGATCCACTGATCGGATCTCATCCAGATTAGTATGGGACTCTGAGACACTACCTTTCCGATGCAAAAAGAATTATCGAAATCGGTTGACGTGGTCCAAAGTTATGCGGTAACATACATAAAAAAAAAACAAGTAAGAAAGTCTAAGTTCGGGCGGAGCCGAACATTAAATACCCGGCGCAAGTATAAAATATATGTTTTCCACCTTTCCAAAAGCTACCGCTACATGATAAGCCGGCGTGTATAAATTTTAAGTAAACTAGCGTCCTTAAATTTCAAAATATTGAAATTTCAAGCATTTCTGAAATTTACCGTTATATGAAAAGCGGCCGTAATTTTAGTCCGATTTCAACAATTTTCAATGGTTTACTTTTATGTGGCAAGCACAATAACCATATCGAGTTTGGTACAAATTGCTAGAACGGTTAGCGAGATACATATACGTGATCATAAGTGGGCGGTGCCACGCCCATTTTCCAAAATTTTATCATAACCGTATTTCCTGGCAAAGAATTGTTGCAACCATCATTTTGAATAAATTGGCTTTAATATTTACTGATTTATCGAGGAATTCGTATTTCTCGAAATTACCGTTATATGGGATGTGGGCGTGGTTATTGTCCGATTTTAAAAATTTTCGGCCATTTGGTATGCTGTACCAGGGTCAACAACTGTGCCAAGTTTGGAAGAAATTGGTGCAGCGGTTACCAAAATATACACATGTAACTATAAGTGGGCGTGGCTACGCCCATTTTTCAAAAATTTTAAATATTCTTATTTCTCGTCTAAAAGTTATTCTAAATGTCAATTTTGAGTGAATTATATTCAGTAGTTACTAAAATATCGCAGTTTTCGTATTTCTGAAAATTACCGTTATATGGGAGGTAGGCGTGATTATTGTCCGATTTCGCCCATCAATATCATCCGTCCTACGCCCAAAAGAAGTGCATGTACGAAGTTTCGTTAAGATATCTCAATTTTTACTCGAGTTATCGTGTGCACGGACGGACGGACAGACAGTCACCGCTTAATCGATTTCTCTTTTCATTCTGATCATTTATGTATACATTTGTCTATATCTATCTCGATTCGTTTTGCCAGTTACAAACAACCCTTATGTGAACAAAGTTATAATACCCTTGTGCACAAGTGCGCTCGGGTATAAAAATATTCCGACGAACTGATAACCTCCTCCTTTTTTTGGAAGTCGGTTAAAAATTGTTTCATATTAGCGATTTTTTATGGGCTGCATTTTTTGATATTATTATTGGAAGTGTCCTGAAGAAAAACAGAGATACACAATCGAAAAATAAAGATTTTCTAGAGTCGTGTACCATTTCTACGAAAAATGTTATTTTTTTCATATAAATTACATGGAAAATTCTGAGCGGTTTGAATATTTTCTGATCTATCAATAAAAACGGGTATATTTTTTCTCTTTTTAGACCACCCTAATGTACATATAACATAGCCTTAAACTATAGAGGCAACACTTCCCCAAATGGCTGAATGGTAACCATTGGAGAAGATGAAATCGAGTCCCAAGTTGAACACAACAGAGTCGATGCCTCTTCACCCGATTGGGCTACATAAATGTTAGCAATTTGGCAGCAGATAGCTAATGGATCGAAGGGGTTAAGTCGCGTAGCAAAGAACGCTTGCATATAGCTAGTCCTTATTACAACAAAGGTGTATTAAACAAGGTGTGATTGACAACTCAGGTAGGCTCTCTTTTAAGGTACTATTATGCCAAAAAATATAAACAATCGATTCAAAATTCATACAAAATTTTTTCAATTTTACTTTATAGGATGGTTCTTCTGAGAGCAATGTCAAATTCAATCACACTTTGTTGAATACATTTTGATTACAACAAAAATACCCCTTTTAAAATAAATAAAAAGGTTTGTTCCACAAGCTACTCACTTCGAGTTACGCATTTACTTTACGTTAGTAAATTTAACAGCAAAGAGAGAGCAAAACACTCCTGTCAAAATGGCAGAAAATAAAACAAGCTTTACTTGAACAACTTGGTCGAGCATAATTTTGTGATTCGTCTAAATTTACAAAAAAACAGTTCTACCATAATTTTTAAGAAGCGTCATTTGACAATTAAACTTAGCTCGAGTTCACTCTGAGCATAAAGGGTGCATTCGAATTCGCAAGACAAATATTTTCTCTCACTTACCCAAATATTTGTTAACGCCCAATATATTTAGTATTCGCAAATACCAATAAATACTGTCTACACAGTAAATCACACGCCCAATATCCATAGTGTTCGGCCGAAAGCGTAACGATAGACCGATCAGGAACAAGATAATAGCAGCTGCATCGCAAGGATTCCACATATTCCAGGCCCACACCGCAAATTTATGGCTGTAGTGGCAAATAGAGCACACATGAAAGCGTAAAATTTAATGGGTTAAAAGAGAGGCAATACATAGTTTGTTACATACATACATATGTATGTCTGTGCAATTAAAAAAGAATGGCGATAACACACGCTTGTAGTAAAAGTAATATGAGGCAGATGTAATTTAGCGTGAAAAAT